ACAGATATTTTTTAGTTGCTTTGGTACGGCATAAGCACAGTATTTATTTAATGACATTTACATTTCATTTTCGTATTCAAGAAACAATTACAACATAAGCAAAGTAGTCAAAAATAAAGCAACACTCTCATTAGCCAACTGTTGGGGCGTTGGACTTTGTTATTTTATCGTATATATTTAAACATCAGATGATGAGGGTGGATTTTAAAGAATGTGTTATCCTCTCATCTCAAACTGATGAGCAAACAGTGAGGATCGGACGAGCAAACAGACACACACGTGGGCGCTCCAGCATGCTCTCTCACACACGCAGCATTAATAATTGACAGAGCCCAATGAGATGAATGCAGCAGATCAACTCCGACTCAAATCTAATTACATAAAATGGCATCATCTTACAGACCGACAAACACCAGAAGGTGTTGAGTTTGTTCGCCAATTTAGCATCCATCCTAGAGTTATTATCGTTAACTAAAATTATTAAAACTTTTTTTTTTTTTTAAATAAAGCTGAAATATAAAATAAAATATAAATATTAGATTAAAAACTTTAACTTATTCCAGTTAGTTGACAAAGCAACATTTAAATTTTTTGTTTAGGTTAAGAATTAAACCTGGAAATTAAATAAATAAAAACCTAAATAGTAATTAAAAAATTTAAAAAAATGACAAAACCACACTACAAAATCACAAAAAAATTAACTAGTAATATTTAAAAATAAAAGAAAAAAATAAAGCTAATAAAAAAAATGACAAAACCACATTACAAAATCACAAAAAATTAACTAGTAATATTTAAAAATAAAAACCTAAACGTAATAAAAAAAGACAAAAGCACATTACTAAAAGTTTAATTAAATTTAAAACAAAAACTGAAAGTATTAAAAAAAATAAAAGCTCATTTAAAATATTAATAAAAAAACGACTAAAATAACACTGGTCCATCCAGTCCAATGGTTTGAAGTAAGGCGTATGATTTGAGGCATCATCAATAAAGCACAAAAAATACGGGAAAGGTTATGCATAAGTTTGAGAGGTTTGTATGAGTAAAACCAAAAGTGATGCTTGTCGTACCAAGACAATTTAAGTTATTTCACTGTCTAAAGCTTTGCACCTTATCAGATATTGGTGAAAGGCCAAAGCACACTTGACAACATCACAAAGGGTTCATAAGGACATCAGACATTCCTATCAACCTTTGGGAGACCTTATGTCTGACGGAAACAGTACATGACAACATTTTCTTTTTTTGTCCCTAGAGGTCAATAAACAACAATAACAGGTCACAAACCCACCTGTAGTAAGACAGCAAGCCATTGCTCAGGACGAACCAGCGCCTTTGGTATCCCTTTATGTAATTGGTCCATTTGAAGAGCCAGCCTTTATAAGTGTCCCCAGGGGCCGGGGTGGGCGCTTTGGGCTCCGACATCACGACAGCCCGTGGCTTCACAGTGTCTGACGGGGGTCTGGGGGTGAACACAAAGGGTTAAACAGGTTAGTTGACACCCATGCCTGTGTGATTCACACCTTGATGGACAAGACTGTCTCTTGTATGCCAAGGCACCTGAAATGTTTACCTACACACCTAAGTTGTGTCGTTCCCTACCTAGACAGCATTTTACACGCTGTGTGTAGGTTGACAGCACACTAGGTTTTGAAACACAGCCCAAATATTCCATATAAAGACTGAAATGTGTTATACTCAGTAGTGATGGGAAGTTCGGATCATTTTACCGACTCGGACCTTTGAGTCTCGTTCAGCAAAATGAACGAATCTTTTTTCGAGTCATTTCGTTCATTTTAGCAAAATATAATTAAAATGTTACGTGCTACTTCCCTAACACATCTACTACTAACGCAAACGTTGATCACACTACAAACAATACAAAACTGCTATAAGAAACAGAAAAGATTAATTCATGGTTTACCTGGGTCTTCAGTCTATGATTAGCTCACCTCACCTCTTATCTGACAAGTCTTCGGGGTTTGGGCTTATGGGGCTGTCACGTGATGAACGATCGACTCAAGCCCGAAGACTCGAGAGATGAACTAATCAATTCTCTTTCCGGCTCAGACTGCATTGGTTAAACGGGTCATATGATGCGATTTCAATTTTTCCTTTCTCTTTGGAGTGTTACAAGCTCTTGGTGCATAAAGAAGATCTGTAAAGTTGCAAAGACTAAAGTCTCAAAACCAAAGAGATATTCTTTATAAAATTTAAGAGTCAGCCCCGCCCTCCTAAAACGGCTCGTTCTAACACTCCCCCACATATCTACCTCACTACGTGGGAAGATTTGCATAACGCCGCCCAAATGTTCACGCAAAAAAAGAAGGCGTAACTTTTATTCTCGCTGTAGTATTGTTGTTGCTGCCGCCATGACGTGAAGACGCTGTGTGTTTCGTTGTGAAAGCGAAACTACTTTGTTTGGTCTTCCAAAAGAGGACGATATCCGCTTCGTCATGCCTAGAGCTGATCCGTGCTGGTCGCTGAGGGAATCAACTTTCACCGTGAACGAAGCGGAGTCCAGCACGCCTCAGCTCACTCTATCCCGGCCTCAGCGCAGGCTAAGCCGGGGCTTCCCCTCACGCTCGGCCGCTGTGTTTTTCGTTGCCACTGATGAACTTTAGGGCAGTAAAGTAGCACTTGTTGTTTGTCATTTCTCCGATCACAAATGCAGACAGAGTTTTATGTTTACGTGGCACGGCGCGATGCGATGCAATGCAACGCAACGCGTAAAAAGACAGTATAAGTCATTATAATCAGTAATTATGTCCCCACTGGATGCAACAAATGCCTTGTTTACAATGGGTTTTAATGTTTTTGTCTCGTCGCTCCGGGACATGGCATCACAGTATGGTAGGGGCGTAACATTTCCGTCGCACGCTTGAGATATTCAGCCAATCACAACGCACTGAATAGCTGGCCAATCACAGCACACCTCGCTTTTTCAGACCGATGAGCTTTGTAAAAATCAACGCGTTTCAGAAAGGCGGGGCATAGAGGAGAAACAATAATGTACAGTATGTGGAAAATAATGTGTGTTTTTTTTTTTTACTTTAAACCGCATAAACACATTTCATTACACCAAATAATGTTCTTTTTAGCAACATCACATGACCCCTTTAAAGCTTATGGGGCTGTCACGTGATGAACGAACGACTCGGAAAAACCCGAAGACACGAAACAGGAGAACTA